CCCAAGACTAGAACACAGGACAGAGCAACCAGATATCAACCCAGATAGGGAAGTCACAAAAATAAATCAAAGCTAAAACACTGCAAATAGGGCAACACAGATGTCAATATGTAAAAGATGACAACATTAAGGCGAAAAAGAGGACTAAAAAATGTAGATATAGATTTTTCATATGGAGAGGAAGTCAAGGCAATATAAAGAAATAAAAGGCTGTTTAAAACTTAGAAAAATAGGGGTAAATATTAAGGTAACCACAAAAGAAATTTAAAAAAACCTACACATCAAAATAAAAAACAAGAAAGATTTAAAGACTGAGCAAATACAAAAGCAACAACAATGAAAAAGATGAAAAGAAAATACATAAAGAAAAACTCACCACAGAAAATTAAGTGGAACAACAAAACTGTCAACAACACACAAAAAAAGACATCAAAATGACAGCACTAAACTTACACCTATCACTCAATGCAGAAAAGGCATTTGACAAAGTCCAATACCGTTCATGATAAAAACTCTCAACAAAATAGGAATAGAAGGGAAATTCCTCAACATAATTAAGGGCATTTATACAAAACCAACAGCCAACATCATCCTAAATGAAGAGACTTTGAACCATTCCCCTTGAGAACGGGATCCAGACAAGGATGCCCTTTATCACCAGTCTTAATCAACATTGTGCTATAGGTGTTAGCTAGAGCAATTAGGCTAGAAAAAGAAATAAAAGGCATCCAAATTGGTAAGGAAGAGGTCAAAGTATCTCTGTTTGCAGATGATATGATCTTATACATAGAAAACCCCAAAGAATCCTTAAGAAAACTACTGGAATTAATAGAAAATTTCAGCAAAGTATCAGGATACAAGATAAACATACAAAAATCAATTGGATTCCTCTACACGAACAAAGAGAACTTCCAAGAGGAAATCACTAAATTAATCCCATTTACAATAGCTCCCAAGAAGATCAAATACTTAGGAATAAATCTAACCGGAGACGTAAAAGATCTATACACAGAACACTACAAGACACTACTACAAGAAACCAAAAGAGAACTGTGTAAGTGGAAAAATATACCTTGTCCATGGATAGGAAGACTCAACATTGTGAAAATGTCAATTCTACCCAAATTGGTCTACAGATACAATGCAATCCCTATCCAAATTCCAACGGCATTTTTTAATCAGACGGAGAAACAAATCACCAACTTTATATGGAAAGGGAAGAGGCCCCCACTAAGTAAAGCATTACTGAAGAAGAAGAACAAAGTGGGAGGCCTCACACTACCTGATTTTAGAACCTATTATACTGCCAAGGTAGTCAAAACAGCCTGGTACTTGTACAACAGCAGACACATAGACCAATGGAACAGAATTGAGAATCCAGACATAAGTTTATCCACCTATGCACAGCTGATATTTGACAGAGGCCCAACGTCTGTTAATTTGGGAAAAGACAGTCTCTTTAACAAATGGTGCTGGCATACCTGGATATCCACCTGCAAAAAACAAATGAAACAAGACCCATACCTCACACCATGCAAAAAAACTAACTCAAAGTGGATCAAAGACCTAAACATAAAATCTAAAACGATAAAGATCATAGAAGTAAAAATAGAGACAATGCTAGGAGCCCTAATACATGGCATAAACAGAATACGAAACATTACTAACAATGCACAAACACCAGAAGAGAAACTAGATAACGGGGACCTCCTAAAA